TTTGCCAAACTCGGTAGGTTTTCAACCATTGATTCTTTAAATATTCTTTTCTTCATGGCACTCCATTTTGTTGCTGAGCCCATCAAGTAAGTTCTAATTTTCACTGTTTTTCAGTTCTAAAATTCCTTTTATACATCTGAAAATTATATAATAAAAATTTGAAATTAAAATGTTTAATTTCGTTTTGGTTCTTTTTTTATAGCTTCTGTTTCTCTGCTTAGATATTCACTCAAGAGTTCACCTTTACTTCTTGGAACATGGTTCTAATTCTAATGTGGATCATGTTAGTATTGGTGTCTTTTTCTTTTCCATTGTGAGTTTTAAAGTTGTCCTGTTTCTTTGTATGTGGAGTACATTTTTATTGTTTCCTAGACATTTTGAATAATTTGATTCTCTGAGTCTAGTTTAAATCCTATGGGAAACATAATTTAGGTTTGTTTGTCTTAACAGGCAGTTTATTTAGATTGAATATGCAAGTTCCAAACTACTTTCTGTGCCCTGGGGTTCCAATGTCAATTCAGTTTTCAAAGCATTTGAAAATTGGAATTCAGTGTGCTTTATCTTTTATGTGCTTCACCCAGTACCCACTCTAAGACCTGGTTGATGGTCCACCTGGTTCAGTTCTCAAGGCCATTGGTATGCTGCCTAGTGTCAGATCTACACATGTGCACCCTCAAGTTCATATAATACTTTGAGGGATCCCTAACTTGAGTTGCTCCTTTCCCTTATCTCACTAGAACTCTTTAGTTCCCAGAGGCCCCCTTCCTGGATATAGTTAGAGCAACAGGGCTTTATTTAGCCTTCCCATTCTGCTGTGGCCTTCCCACAGCTAGATCTTCTTCCAGTGCCAATGAGTGAGAGAATAAAGAGGAAAAAAGCAATGGGATTTCCTCCACCTTTTTCAGAACAGACTTCCACTAGTAAGATAGGATTCCCTTTCCTCAGGGTTTAAGTATTTGCTGGCAGCTGCTGCTACCACCACCTACCCAATCCAGGACTGCAGCTTTCAGGACTAGTGTTTGCCTGCAGTGAGACCAGAAAGAAAAGAAAAACAACATGGATTTCTTCCACCTTCTCTGCTCCACAAAAACCCCTTCTCCCTATCTTCCAACTATAGAGAGTTTCTTATGGAGCTCTTTCCATCCAAGTTTGGCTCACAGTTTTGGGATTCAGGTTGTTTCAGTCCAGACCAGCACACCACCAGATCAAACTTCCAACTTCTTGTTTCCTTCCCAGTCTGCTAACATTTACTTTTCAGTTTTCTCAGCTGCCTCATCCATTCTGTCTATGATTTTAGTTGCATTCAGTGGGAGAGGCAGGGTGGAACATGCTAACTATCTTACCTGGTACTACTTTTTTTTTTTCCTTTTAAATTCTTGAGTTTGGATGCATCTTGCTGAAAGAGCTGGAAATAGAGTGCAATCATGTGGTACGATTATGCCAATTTCTGAATGGTGACTGATAGGCAAAACAAAGTTCTGCCTCTCAAGTCATGATTTCCTCCATGTTTGGTTTCATTTTGTTAATATTTTCCTTAGAATATTTGCATTAATATTCATAAGCTCATCTAGATCTTTTAGAAACTATCTTGATACAGTGTTTAGACTTCTAGGATGAGCTTGTAAAATTCTTTTAGAGATTATCCTTAGTTTTTACCTGATATTTAAGTATTGTTTTGTGTGTGTGTGTGTGTGTGTGTGTGTGTGGTACATGGGCCTCTCACTGTTGTGGCCTCTCCCATTGCGGAGCACAGGCTCCAGACGCGCAGGCTCAGTGGCCGTGGCTCACAGGCCCAGCCACTCCGCGGCATATGGGATCTTCCCGGACTGGGGCACAAACCCGTGTCCCCTGCATCAGCAGGCGGACTCTCAACCACTGCGCCACCAGGGAAGCCCTAAGTATTGTTTAAAAGAGAGGTTTTGGACCAGATTTTCATTTTCCTGCTATGTGTATTGGACTATGCAGATTTCTACCTCATCTTGAGTCAATTTTAAAGAAAATACTTTCTGTATATAATATTACTGATATTTTTAAACTCTCCATAAATATATGTGTGCTACCTTATTAATGCTGTCATATTTCTCACCTTTACATTGGTCAAATTTATAAGTCTAGTTTAGATCAGTGTTTTTTCCACAAAAATAAATTAGGGAGGTTTTATTGCTTCTTCCATTGATTTCCAATTTTAACTGTACGAACTGTTTTCTTCTTCTGTAGTTAGGTTACTTTGTTCTTTTTCTGGTTTCTTAGGTTTGATTACATCATCAGTTTTATCAGGTGTCCACTATGTGACAGACACTGTTTCAGAACTAGGGTTATAATAGTGTAGTCACGTGGGGCAATGATGTTAATTGTTGAATGATGATGCAAAAAAAGGTCTGGCTCTATGTCTTGATTTCCCACATTTGTTAAAGGGTATTAGTATTCTTCTAAGATGACTTTGGTCACCTCATACAGGTTTTGTTATTTAGCAACTCATTATCACTCATATCTGAGTGGTATCCTGTTTTAATACTGGTTTTCTCTTTGAATCAAACAAATAAAATATAAATTTCCAAGAGGAGGTTAGAATCACTCCACAGATACTTTCTAATTGTGAGAACAAAAAAGGACCCTTAAAATGGAGAGAGTTGACAGTCACCACCTTAACCATATGATCAAATTTAGCCTCATGTTATCAATATGTACCTTGATATACAATACAAAATACATCATTTATGAAATATTCTTGCAAAATTGTTTGATCCAAACTTAATCTTCTCTCTACACTTAATTTCCAATGTAAATGGCAGAGTTAATTAAATGACAACATTAGGAAAAGAGAACAACAATCGAAGATATGGAATATCCTACAAGACAACTGCATGGACTCTAAGAAGAAAAAGTCATGGGGAAAAAAAGTGAAGAACTAAACTAGCCTAAAAGAGACATATCAACTAAATGCAATTTCTGAACCTAGAGTTGACTAGATAAAAAACGAAAGCAAACAACTGTAAAGTCAATCTTGGGACAGCTGGGAAAACCTGAACGTGTATCACATGATATATTTTAGAAGATGTGGTTATAGTATGGTTATGTTGAAAATTATAGGAAGATAAACCAAATATGACAAACTTTTAGCTATTAAACTAGGTGGAGGGGGCAGGGTGGTAAACACATGTCCATTGTACTTTTCTAACTTTCCTGTTTGTTTGAAAGTTTTCATAATGGCAACTTGGAAGGTTTACTAATGGACAGTTTCCTCTGTTTTCCTTTTGATAATTTCTAATAAACTTTCAGTTGTGAGAGAATGTAGATTATGGGATATCTGTTATTAGGAATTTATTAACAGAAAACTCCTTCATACCCTTTTCTACTTAAGCAACTAGCTATATTCTCAATATATATTTACAGCTACTAGTTCCAGAGTATTTATTCCAGCATTAGTTTCCTGATGCAGCTCA